CCTGGTACCTCACCTGGTACCTCACCTGGTACCTCACCTGGTACCTTCTCCTGGTACCTCACCTGGCACCTCACCTGGTACCTCACCTGGTACCTCACCTGGTACCTCACCTGGTACCTTCTCCTGGTACCTCACCTGGTACCTCTCCTGGTACCTTCTCCTGGCACCTTCTCCTGGTACCTCACCTGGTACCTCGCCTGGTACCTTCTCCTGGTACCTCACCTGGCACCTCACCTGGTACCTTCTCGATGCCTTCACCTGGTACCGTCACCTGGATGCCCTCACCTGGGGACAGGAAGCACCGTCCCTGGAGGGCGGGCGATATGGGACAAGAACACAGCCACAGACGTCACAGGGGCTGCCACAGGGGACCTGCACACGCCAGGGGCTTATTACTCCATTAATGGGTGATTCCACCTGACCAGCCAGTGGCCAGAGGCCGTGCCCAGGGTGGATGGTGCCAGGGCCCGTGGACAGGGGGTCACAGCCAGCGACTGGCACTGGATAAGGTGCTTGGTCCCGTTGGGCAGCAACAGGCAGCGAGGGCAGACCTCAGGCCAGAGAGCCGGGCCCGGAACACGTTCACAGCCCTGAGGGGCCCCACAGGCCTGGCGCACAAGGACAGTAACAGAGGGGGGGACCCTGCTGGGCGGAACTGCTCTCAGAGGGTTCCGTCCCCGAGCTACCGGGCAGGGTCCGGGCTTCAGAGCTGGCCGGGCCCTGGGGCAGGGCAGGGGAAGAAGGGCCAGTCAGGCGCGTGGCCCCTGCAATTCGGAGCAGGGGGTTAAGCCGGGCCGTGATTCCATCCGTGCGGCCAGAGGCCCAGTTCTGTGCCCCACATACTGTTCTGACCACGGCCACCTGGATCCTGCCAAGTCGCCCGAGGCCCAGGCCTGGGGAGGAGGGGGGGATTGGAAGGTGGGGGCCTCAGGACCTCTGGTTGCTAAGAGACAGCTGGAAGAAAAGCAGTGCCCGGATGTGGCCTGTGCAGCACGAGGCCCAACGCGCTCGCTGGGCACACCCACGCCCACACGCCCCACAGGTGACCTCACACACGCAGGCTCGGGACCAGGAAAGCCGCGCCCCGCCCCGCAGCTCAGAGCACTGGCCAGCCCACATCCGGTCAAGGCTCAGCGCGGCCCCGCCTACCTGGGAAACACCCTGTTCTCTCTCGAGGGCATTCCAGACATTGGTAGAGATAGATGGAGGGCCTTGAATGCCGTGGAAAGCGGGACTTTATTCCACAGGCAGTTGGGAACCAGAGGGCTTCAGTGTGGCCTAATCAGATCTGGGTTTCAGCAAGCTGCTGTGTGAACCCATAGAAGGTGGGATTGGGGAAAGGAAGCCCAGTGAATGACACTGCCGTCTGTGAAGAGGGGCAATGGGGGCCTAGGGGCAATGGGGGCCTGGGGGCTGGGGCCTGGGGGCATAGGGCCTGGGGACCTGCGGACTGGGGGCTGGGGCTGGGGAAAGCAGAGCCTGTGGCACTCACCCCGGGGTACCTGGGGATGGCTCATACTACCATGGGTCTCTGGGGCCCCGGCCCTCTCCTTGGAGACCCGGCAGAACCGGTGCAGCTTCCCAGAAGCCCTCTGTGGAGGTTGGCTTCCCTCTCGCCCCATTCTGGGCACTCGGGCTGCTAACGAGACACCTGAGCTCCAGTGCGGGCAGGCACAGATGACACACAGCTGTGTCCCCAGGATGCCTCGTTTGCTGGCCTGAAATCGACCTGTAACTGCAGCTCTCGGAGCCTTCCGGAACCCAGATCCCCACCTGAGATCAAACCGAAGACCTAGTTTAAGGTCCCCGGTTTGGCTGCGGCCTCCCAACGCCGCCACTTCTCGGTGCATCGTGGGGCCACCCAACCCCTCCCCCCCGCCAGCCTCCCTGGGCCTCGGCTCGCCCATCCGTAACGTGTGAGGGGGACAGAAGACACCGAGATCCTTCTTCACCCTCACCCCCGCCCCACACACTGCGGTGCCAGGCCTTGCAGACCGACGGGGTCACAGACAGACAGAGGGGTGCAGACACAGTAGAAGGACAGACGTTACTCAGACGGTGGCACATGTCAGTGGGGACAGAAGAGGGAAGAAGGAGTTTGGTGGGGAGACTTGGCCTTTGAAGGCTGAAATGAGGCAGAACCCGAGCTTCCCACACCCACACCTCCCCATAGACACAACCCACCCCCACACTCCCTCACCCCCCCCACACACACCCACACACATACCACACACCACACACACTCAGACACGCACGCGCACCCCATCTCTAGGCCGCCCTGCCCAGCCCAGCCCCGGCCTTTGCTTACCGGCTTGCAGACCGGGTAAGCTGGGGCAGCGGCAGCCTCCTGGAACTACGAGTCGGCACGAAGTGTGTGGAGTTACAAGGCCCGACTCGCGGCCCTCGGTTGGCACACACCTGCGCCTCACGATAGAGTAGCCGTGTGGCGAGGGGTGGGGGTGCAGCCCGGCGGCCAGGGTGCACAGGGTGCCGGGCATCCGGCCAGAGCCTCGGGGCAGCCCTTGTGGGGAAGCCCAGGGTGAGTCCCCAGGATACGGAGCTCAGCCCACACTGCCCCCTCCCTCCTGTCCCGAGTTGGGGGGGGGGGGGGCAGAGCTGAGGCCCGGAGGCTGTGTCTGGTTCCGGCAAGGACTTAGTAAGATAAAGGCCTGGCGGTGGAGCCGCTGAGAGGTGGGCGGGTGAGGAAGCGCTTCCTGGAGGAGGGAGCCTCGGGCTAATCCTGAAGACGGAGTTGGACTCTAACCAGAGGAGGAAGCAAGGTCACCCTGGGTTCAGGTGACAGCAGCGAAGGAGGCAGGGAGTGACGAGGGAGTAGGGCCACAGGCTTCCTTCTGCACATGGGACCTCCCCCCCCCGCCCCCGCCCAGGTTACAGGCAGATCACTTCCGTGTCGGACTCTGACAGGAGCACCCGGGAGCCCAGATGGGCACCACCTCCCACAATGCACCGCGCTTTTGTGGGCCTGCAAAGCCAGGCGCCCAGGGCAGCACTGTCACAGCAGGGACTGGCTTCAGGCCGGGTGGGCACAGCAGGGAAGGCGGGGGCGGGGGTTAGGGAACAGGGGCCCTGCTCCCGGGGGTGCCGTGGAGAAGCCCACCCATCGCCTCTCCCCGCAGCTCGCCCGGAGAGGAGATGCACGGCCCGCTGACATGTGAGGTCTGCGTCTGCCGACGAACCAGATGGAGGGTTTTCAGGGCCAACAGGCCCCGAGCCAGAGCCTGCAGGCCCGGGCGTGACTGCCATCCTCCCGCCCCGCCTCCCACCTGGCACCGCCTGGCACTCCAG